TTGGGATAAAACACGAGCTAAGGTACAAATCCCTAGGGAGTGCCCTCTTAAATTTCTTCAGATATACTCCTGCATTATGTTGATAATTCTAACCTGTGTCATTTTGCTTGATTTTATTGTAATGGCATGTTAAAATATGGCGATTCCAAATGAACATATTATTGTTGTTGCTGTTTTCCCTAGAGGATCGTCCGTCTTGTATGTCTTTATGTATGTTTCACCAAGTATATAAATCAGCTTACAAATGCTGTTTAACTTGTGAAATATGTAGCTTACAACCACATTAATTGAAATTTAGCACAATACCTCAGCATCATCTGAAAATGAGTGTCAGGTAACTTCAATCGAATGAATAGTCTATTCATTTTCTCTTTGATATTTTTTGTGTATAAGAGGGTCTCAATGAGGCGGGGTACTTTCAGTGATGGTTACCGTAAATCCTCGAATCCCAGGGTGCTTATTTCAAATTTAGGAAAAGACGGGGGGCACTTAATCGAGGAGGGGCGCTTATTTAATTTTTCCCAAATCATGGCCTGGCATGATCACTTTTTTAATACATCATCTGCACATAAACAACAGCATAAGCTATTTATCGACATAAAAAGCTGATCCTAAACTTTAAATCGTGGCACCGTTAGTACTTGTAACTTTTTTCCAAACTTAACATGTTCACAAACTGAAACAATGCACAAATCTAATACTACATGACGAAAACTATACATCCTTTGTTGTCTCATTATTCATCCACAAAATGGGGGGAGGGGAGGGGGGTGCTTATTTTAAATTTTGGCTGATAGGAGGGCGCTTATTCGAGGGGGGCGCTAATTTGAGGATTTTGGTAAAAGTTAAAAATATTGTTTTTCGACAGTTGACAGTGAACAAATTTGGGCAGTTGGTGTTTAACAGCTTATTGTGGATGGCTATTGACGGTTGATAGTAAAGTATTAATACTTATTTTCCTTTTCAATGGCTAACGGGTAACCCTTCTAAAACCCTCAGATAAGTTCTGTTCCTTGTGCTTACTAATGACCTAACAGCGCACGCGGCAAGATCAGGCAAACGCCAAAAGACCTTAAAATTGATATTTTATGTCCAGTGTGAACAACGCAGTGTTAGAATGAATATATATTGGAACCTTACTGGCAATAAGGTAAAAGATACAGAGGTTATAACTTATACTTACTGTTAATTGGGCAACATACTTTGCCTATTTTGTTCTTTACACTCAGCGAGCAATTTTGAATACCCATTTGAATCACTGATTTCCTTGATCTACTCAAGTAATCTCCATTGCCATAGCGATAAAATAATACATTTTCAAAAAGAAACATCTAGGTTAGTGCAATTCTAGCCTTAAAGGTGTCAATCTGACAAAAAGTATGCATTTTGGTTGATTTCCTGCCAAATTTACCCTTTGCACTTAAAAACCGGCCAAACTATGCAAGGTAATGCAGAAAAAAACATATCATGATATTATCTATGCAGTTTTACACTCTGGTATAAATTTTCAGCCACATTGGTTGGAAGTAGCAAGTTTTATTGTGATTTGAAGTCGTGTTTGATTTCCTGTTGCAAAAAATTGACTCTCTGCAATTCAAAGTATTGTAACTCGAAATTTCTTAAAATTGGCTGAAACTTTGCTCACACTTGCTTTAACACATTATAAGTATGTGTGAATTTATTTAGCTTATTCCCTCTTAAACGACTGAAGTGACATTTATTCTTGTCGGTGTGGTTCAAAAAAAAAAGGTGTATATCATTTCTTGAGCTTTGAATCCAGTGCTAGTCATGCAAGTACACCTGAAAATTTTCATAACTCCAAAAATCGATATTGCTTCAATGGAGGTAACATAAGGTAATGGTATGGGAGTCGGGTGAATCATAATTGATCATAGTTTTCGCGAAAAAAAAAAGTTTCCCACGATTTTTTTGTGTTTGTAGAGTAAAATGGCTGTTTTCTCACCGGATCAAAAAGTAAACAGCTAAAAATTCATGAAACTTTGGCGTAAAAGAAAACAGTAAACTGGATGATGGAGATTTCTATGTCTCAAATTTTTTTTGGATTTTTAAAAAACCAAGTTTTCCCTGGCATCGAAGTGCTTGATGAGGAAGATACAGAGAGTCATTTACTTTAGTGTGCCTTAGAATAATCAAACATGGCGATCCAGTTGGCGATCAAAAAATGCGCAAGATTTGTAACCAAGAAGACATCATGGTGAGCTTAACACAGAGGAAATGGACTTGGATTGGACACATACTGAAAAAAGACCCCAGTGACATTGCTAAAGAAGGTCTGTTCTGGACACCAGAAGGGAAAAGACAACCGGGAAGGCCTAGAACAACCTGGAGGAGGTCAACAGAAAAAGAACTCAAGACTATACACTTGACCTGGGGTGAAATCCAGAAGGTAGCACAGCATCATTCGCACTGCAGAGAGACTGTGAGGGCCTTATGCATCCAATGGTGCGATGAGGACTGATGATGATTCGAATAAATTGTGTCTTTCATCCACAAGTAATGTTCTTTTTCCTTTGAAATTACTGCTAGCTCTTTTAATTTGTGTCAGTCAAGGCAAAACCTAGTCGCAAATTTGTGACTACTCTTGTTTTTCTAGTTGCAAATAAGTAAAGTTAAGTCACAAATGCAACTGTATTGATCACAATTTCAAGCCCTCCATGGGCAATAAAAATACTGTGAAAAGATAATTAAAGTACTGAGGAAATTTTCATGGGCCATTAAAAATGCCCCATTGATGGGGTTTTCATGGGCCATGAATTTTGCGTGCCATTAACATCCCAAGAGATAAACACCATGAAAATCTGTTCGTAAGTTTCATGGTTTGTTTTCCAATACCATGAAAATCCCATTAAATTACATTTTATGATTCCATTAAATTTAATGGCATTTTCATGCATTTTTTATGTTTTTGTTTTCAGAACGGAAATTTCAAGGGCTATTAACTGGGAATTTTTAAGAGGATTTTCAACACACTCCTAATACTTTTTTCATGCTTTGTTCTTGGGATTTTTCCTATGAAAAACCCTTGAATTTGCACCATGAAAAACCTGTTGAAACTGCATGAAAAACCTTGTGATTTTCCCATTAAAAATTTCCCAAGATTTTAATGTGTTGGTTTCATAGTGACACAAGTATGGTGGCCCACAACTGCCATAGCTGTTTTGCATGTTTTTATTACATTTTCCTCACAAAATAGTTTTACTTTAAAAAAAACCCAGTAAAGTTAAGTAACATTTGTTTTAACATGAAACGAAATGAACAAAAACATTAACCAAAGTTGACTGAAAGTATAACTAGAATTAAAACTAAAATTAATGTAAAATGAAATGAAATTAAAATTTAAATCAATTCTAAATCAAATTGAAAGCAACTCCACAATGACTCACACTGCATTTTTTTTGAATCAAAAGAAAAACAAAACGAAATATCCTTATGGCCCAGAACTGCCATAGACCAGCATGCTTTGCGAAATTAAACAATGGCCGCCAGAATGTGCAATGTGAGTTGGATGGAAGATCTCGACTTAAAGGAAGAGTTACATAAGTATGTTTGCCAAGGCCTTAAAAGAGATGAGATTCTAAACTTTATGGAACAACATTTTGGTGAATACACTTGGAGCTTGTGAACCCTTGAGCGAAGAATGTGTCATTATTTTCGATATTCACTACACGGATACTGATGTCACAGTCGAGGAAGTGAAATCTGCAGTTCGAAAAGAACTTGATGGGCCAGGTAAACTTTTGGGCTTCCAAGCCATGCACAACAAGATAAGGCAAGAATATCTACTAAATGTTCCAAGAAATTTGGTACATGCCATAATGTTTGACCTTGACCCAGAGGCACTTGAAGCTCGATGTCCAACTGTAAAGAAGGGAAAGACTAAAGGTCATTTCTCAACAAAGGGAACCAGCTGGGTACACTCGATGGATGGGCATGATAAGCTCATGGGGTATCAGATCAGCACTTTTCCTTTAGCTATTTACAGTTCTATCAACACAGCCAGCAGAAAAATTCTTTGGCTTAAGATTTGGACCGGAAACTCAGATCCTAAAAGGATCGCGAGCTGGTATTTAGAGCACTTGTATGAAACGAGGACAATTGTGTCTCACATTAGAATTGATAAAGGAAGTGAGACTGGAATTATGGCGACAATGCACTCGTATCTCTGTCAAATCAATGGTGACATGAATCCTTTTGACACTGTTACATATGGGCCATCTTCTTCAAACCAGGTATGTCATTCAAAAAAATGAAATTCCACAGGAATTAGGAAATTTGTAATGTATCATGATTTTTTTTCAACAAATAGATAGAACAGTGGTGGAAGGAACTTCATGAACGGCTGGAGAAGTATTAAAGAACAAATAGCAGCACTCAAGGGTGAGGGATATTATAATCCATGCAATGAAGTTGAAAGGTACATGTAAATTTTTATGTACTGAGAAAAAGTGTATACCTTCTAAATTAGGTCTGCTCCACTATGTAAAATGTAGCTAATTAACAATACTGTGCAAGGATTCCTTTTGAGCTTTATACATTGCTATACTCTAGACTTCCTTTACCCCCACAGGAAGCTTCTATCGTACTTACTAATTCCTGTTACCCAACGTCAACTTGATGTATTTCAAGAAACTGAGTGGAACAGTCACAGGATCTGCACACAAAAGAACACTGTGCTACCTGATGGAGTTCCAGACCACATATACAACTTTCATGAAGAGTATGGGCTAGAAGAGTGTGGTTTTTTCTTTGTTGGTGGGGGGGGGGGGGGGGGGGGGGGGGAGGGGGGGAATCGATACTCCACGACTTACTATATTTTCTTTTTGACTGTTACAGGATTCCCAGTCACAGAGGAACAGTTGAAAGAGGTTGCTCAACACTCAGGGGTTTTAGAAATTGATGATGATTTCACTGAATCTGAGTTCAGGACCAAATGTGGCAGAATTATACTTATGCCTGTTGAGCACCATGTAGATCCGGCAGAGTGCACTGAAGCATACAAGAATTTAAAAAGGAAATTCTCTCAAACTGTTTAACCAACACCATCTTAAGTTTAATTCACATGTAAAGAAAGGAACGGCAGTATAAGATATAACAAACATTGTAATGTTCACAATAATGCTACATTGTGGCATCTTATGGGCTAACTGACCTGATTTTTTTTATCGCCAATTGAATTTTATGTCAGTAAGATTTTCATCTAGTTGCTATGGTAACAATATTGTAAAGCTTCACTGGGGCTCTGTGCCCCATCCCAGACCAGTGTTTTATTGAAATTCAAAACATCTGTCACTGACTGACATAACAAGATTATAAAAGTTTGTAACATCATGCTAAGAAATGTACATCAGATAATTGGAGTGTCCAAGTACACCTATTATCTACATAGTTGACCACCAGATTAACTCCAAATGAACAATAACTATCGTTAAAACCCAACCTATCCATGTATGGATATCACAGCAAGAGTAACGATGATAAAGTTACAACTCGCAAAATGGGTTGCTTTGTAGCCTATTATAATACTCAGAGCTAATATACGAAAGGCTTGTAACATGTTAAGAAATGTACATCAAAGTAGTGATATTGTCCAGATATGCAGACTCTACAGCAACAATGATTTAAAATCAAACATAACCACATACATGTAGGTCAGATGGACAGCTCTTCAAGGGTACTTGAATATTATAAGACATCCAGATGTAGCAAATCAAAAAAGGTCATATATTACTGATATTACACAAACAAGACTTAAAGTTGGTTTTCATAAGGAAACAAGTTAAGCAATACAACCACCTTGAATTGAGGGGCTTAGAACCGAAGTTGGCCAACCCCTCAAATCTTGAAAAATTCCTTGGCAAACAAAACAACACTGTCAAAGTGTGTATTTAACAGAATCAGAAATGTGTTTTAGAACTTGAAATATTTCTTTTTCCTGGTAGCAACTCATTTTTGTTATTGCATTTCTAAGAAAAAATTAATGTGCAATTTCCAGTTATCAATTTTAGGACAGCCAACATTGCCTCTGAGTCCCTCACATTTTCTATCACTATACTTTCACATGTTCCTTCTTCAGCTGAAGGTATTGTTAAACTGCAACAATCAACAACACAAAATATATGCGAGAAAATATATACATAACCTTTTCCTAAGTAGAGAACTGAAGTCACATTTGGTTTTGTCTCTGCGGTGTCTTTGCTTTTTAATCTTAGTTAATACAAAGTTTGTTAATTTTGTTTAACTTGAAAATGGCTTCAGTGACAAACTTCTGCAATAAAAATTACATATGTGGTTGACTTTAAAGTTTTCAATAGCATAGCAGAAAGGTTCCCTGTAGTGAACAGGACTTCATTTTGGCTGTCTAATAACTCAGCAGAGGCAATCTCTGGGTCAAACAGCTCATAGCAAGCCCCCTGCACATCCACAAGCATAACTTGATAATTTGACTTCTCATAGGAGAAGTGAACCAAACATTCTGCTTTTTGTAGCGTCACATCCTCTTTATTTCAGCAAGGTGTTCCATCGTTATTGACAAGTTTTTCCATTTTACCTTCCACAAATTCTTCAACAGTGACAAATTCCCCATCTGGAAGCTTGGCAAGGTAAATGGTTTTGTAGGAGAATGTTTCGCCAAATAAATCTCTGAGGTCTTGGTCCAAGACTACCTGTGTAAGTTGAGCAGCAACATTTCAAGCAAGGTGGCGCATTTGAACCACTTTCCTGGTGTGCTGCTCAACAGTTTGATTGATAGCTTCAATGTCTTTAAGGACACTTGTCTTACGTTTCTTCACAACACACTCTACATTTGAAAATTCTTGGGTGTTACTTTTTGCCCTGTAAGCCTTTCTAAATCCACCTTGCCCAAGTAGATCTTTTGAAATCTGAAATTCCACTGCGATATCAACAGTTGACCATATCATGGTATCCAAGTGAAAAGTATTCAAGTTAACCATGGTAGTGCCAGATTTAACAACACGACCCAGGCTGATACAGAGAGGCTCTTCGGAATAACTTTCGATTTAGTATTCTTGATTTTGCCCTTTCTACTTGGGCTTGGAAGTGACTGAGTGACTTTAGAAACTGATGCAGCATTGCCCTGTTTTCTTTTCAGTGTTCTCTTACGGCCAGTATCTTCACTGTCGCATTGGGTGTCATCACATTTACCTTCAATTTCGACCTCAGTTTCATCAATAAAGTGAACATGGATTAATTTAGTGTTTGGTATTTGTTTTACTGTACCACAAGAGAGGCCTTGTTCGCCAGCCAGTATATCACATACCATACCTGCTCCAATCTTTGATGTGAAATGGCTTGTGCACGCTTCCTTGATGTTTCCTTGATGTTTACGATGGTCAGCTCTCTACCACTGAAATCAACAAACTCTCTGGGCTGATTCCAGTGTATTTTTGTTGTTCACCAGCCACTTTGGAACTTAATCGTTGCACAGTTAGTTCGTCCTTACAGCTCTTGTCGTCTTTGCCTTTACCTGCACATGTCCCCGCTCTCTTTCGTTTCATTTCAGCTTGAAAGGCCTTCCACCCCTTGTCCGCCATTTTGTAATTTCTGAGATAATTTCGCAAAGCATGCTGGTCTATGGCAGTTCTGGGCCATAAGGATATTTCATTTTGTTTTTCTTTTGATTTAAAAAGAAAATGCTGTGTGATTCATTGTGGAGTTGCTTTCAATTTGATTTAGAATTGATTTAAATTTTAATTTCATTTCATTTTATGTTAATTTTAGTTTTAATTCTTGTTTTACTTTCAGTCAACTTTCGTTAATGTTTTTGTTCATTTCGTTTGATGTTAAAAAAAATGTTACTTAACTTTACTGGGTTTTTTTAAGTAAAACTTTTTCTGAGGAAAAATCTAATAAAAACATGCAAAACAGCTATGGCAATTGTGGGCCACCATACACAAGATACATGTATAAAGCGAATCAAAACAAGGCTTCGTAAGTTGTTGTCCTGGAGCACAGTTGCTGTATAATTTTCATATTCCTGCTTAAAATGACCTTCTCATTTCAGGCCCCCTGCACTAATCCTTGACATCGTCGTTGTCTCTTTCATTGTGATTTCTGACACTCCCTATTGTCATTATAAAACCTGCATTTATATGCAAATTATGGTACCTTTGATTTTCCTTTTGACTTTGGTTTAAAGTGTTGAGAAAGTTTCGGCAACCCTGAAAGGAAAATCAGAGCAGAACATGGCAACTAAGACAACATAGCAATGTGAAAACCAAGCTAAATTATAAACTTAACAGCAATGTATACACTGTGGGTATCACTACAGTGACATGAAAATTTTGTGAAGCATCTGTAATTAAGTTAAAGACGACTGCAGAGACAAAAAGTCAAAGGCAGATTCTCAAATAATTCATAGCCCTCTAGATAATCTGTGTACTTACTGCTTCAAATTCTGGACTGGTGATATCACAAAAAGCGGAAGACACTAAATCACAGCTAAAATACTCCCGAGCCTTCTTGTGCCTAGTGTCGCCTGGGATGAGACGGAAAATAAGCTCAACCATTCCTGCTTGAAGTTCAAAATCTATCATGAAACACAAAGAAAAAAACCTCTTGCTTATCTCATAATTCATTGCCAGTTCTTATTTGTAAGATGAGATCAACTTATTTTTTCAAAAAATACTGAATTACTGATGTTTGGTCATGTGCTCCCTAGCTTTCTTACACATTGGCTTTTCAAAGTTGGAATTTTTAGACAACCAGCAACAGGTGCAGACCCTCTAGCACACCATTTTGAAATACAAGCATAGTGAATCTGGCTGCCCCTTAGTCATCTGTATCTAACATGAATAATCTTGTTGTCCAGAAAAACTCATTTTAGATTTTTTCACAACTCAGGGATCAATTTCTGGTGCATTATTTTGCTGACCAGATGGGTGCCCATTCAGAAGTCTTCTGTGGACAAACTCAATACTATACTCCAGTTTTGTAATCTCAAATCATTTTATGAGGCACATAATATAGCGTTTGCATTAATTTCAGCAGCTGGGTTGCTGCCAAAGGTTTTTCTCATTCTTAGTTTTGTCAGTTAGGTCACTGGAAGTCAAATGCTTTTCTTACTAGTACACTAGACAAAACTGTTCTGGATCGACTGACATCGTAGTGTTAGAAGAGTGTTGTTGTGCGAGGAACATTGTGAATTTTTTTCATGAAATAGACAATGACACAAGGAAGGAACAATAATCCATCTAAACAGCACTATAATCCTGTGATACATCAGCTGTTCAGAGAATGAAAGATTCATGTTGCAATACTACCACCAAAGGGCCACAAGGCAAACCAAACAAAGTTATTTCAAGTTGTTATTCAAGCAAATGCTCCCAGTAGATGGGCCCAGAAACTTTCCCAAACGCACAAATAGTATTGTTTGCAGTACTTGGCCGACAACTTTTTCACACAGCAGTATTTTTGTGCAATTGCATGAGCTAAAGGCAGCCACCTTCACAACAGGTGGAGACTGATCTAGTGGCAAGAACAGTTTAGAGACTTGAAAGAAGATCAGTTTCTAAAAACACTATCCCATTTCAGTGGCCAAATAAGTTGCAAGTCTTTCTCATGCTTTCTTGTCAAATTGTTGACTAAAATTTCCACCAACACGTAACAATGTTCGTCGCAAAATAACACTTCAAATATGACTCATTTTTCACAAAAATCACATGATTTTGCATAATTTTGTGATTCAGATAACAAATTTGGACACAGCATGACACAAGCCTTTCTTGCATGATCCATATAAAAATAACTTTCCGTGCATGGAATTTTATAATAGTTGGCAGTAAATGCGGGTGAAAAGTGAACATTGGAAATATCAAACTAGTGAGAAAATCTCAGATAGTGCAGAGTGTAATCTACATCTCTGATGCAGTAGTCACACAGGTCCTCACCCCTGCTGTTCCCTCCCTTGGCAGTCACCTAGGCCTTTTCCACTTTGCAGAATATGAGCGGACAAAAACTTGATAAGACATAATCTTAGCCATGTGTATGTTTCATGTTTGTGTTTTGCCCAAAAATAACTTACAATTACCGTTTGCCAAGACAGTTTTAAATTTATTGTGGTATTTTATCTTGAGTTTCGTTCATTTTGTAGCATTACTTTTCACGCCGTTTGTAATTTGATACTTTTGTTTTCCTCGCCAATCTATGCAACAAGATACCTTTGTTTCCAAGAAAATATAAGAAAGATGTGTATTTTTTTAACTTACTGCTGGAGATAAATGAAATATAAAAGTTAAATATCTGCTGAAAAGTCGAAGAGGAATGATTTTGTTTTATTCAAAACTTAAATTTTCATTTCACCAACAAACAAGAATTAATGTAGTTATCAAATAGTCACGTCGAATCACGGAATAGCACGTTCTAATTCTGTTGCCAGACAAGTTGGTGCAAACAATAAAACCACATCAAACTAATACACAATGCTATGGAGTAATAAAACTGAGGAGTGTTTCAACGAGAAGTATTAAAGGTCGAGATCTTTACTTGACTGAAATTATATCCCACATCGGTGAGCGAGTCACCTCATCGACTGATGAAATTAATTGGCGGTTTCAGTAAGTGCCACGGAATCTGCGGCGATAATAACGAAGTTTCTTGTGTCACAAATTTACTAGTTTTACATGTAACTAATGCGGGGGAGTTTCGGCTAAATATGATCTTTGGGTTCTCTTTCATAGAAGAGAAAATAAACAAGCTGCTAAGGAGAAGCAATATGTTCCGATTCTCTATTTCAACCCTGGCAAACACACAATAGTTAAAAAACAGCAGACAACATTTCTTGAATAGAGCTAGGGAAGATTCCANAAACAAGCTGCTAAGGAGAAGCAATATGTTCCGATTCTCTATTTCAACCCTGGCAAACACACAATAGTTAAAAAACAGCAGACAACATTTCTTGAATAGAGCTAGGGAAGATTCCAGAAGATACGCAGTCACAGTAACGTTCTTTGGACTGAAAAGGAGAACTGACATTACCTGAAATATAACTGCTATCCCCAGCCAAAACGAGAGTGTGATATCACTCATTAGAAAAAATTAAAAAAAACTTGCATCTGCACTTGAGAACAGAGTTTACCACACTAGCAATGTTAGAACGCACGCGTCTTACATGCTATGAAATGTATCTTTCACCTAACATATATTCGACTTTGACGCTAACTAATCTGTGCATGCATTTGAAGCAAATTGCTTCTGTTCTTGAGAGAATGGCACAAGGATAGCATGAGATTTCCAAACCAAACATGTATATATATTTTTGCCATGTTATCAAAGAAGGCAACGTAAATAAGACACGTTTTGCATAGTGCACTCAGGTACCTACTGCACCCAGCCCCCCTTCCCGCAAGGCTAATTAATTAATTGAAATTAATTAATTAAACAAACATTAAAGTTTACACCTTAGGGCGTTAGCGCCATAGTGAACAGCAGCCCCCCAAACCATCCCAATAGTGCACTCTGCACTAAAAATCAAGGCAATACTGTCTTGATAAAAACATTAATCATTCTCTCTTTATAAACAGAAACAAGTTTTAAAGCACCTATGAAGTAAAAAATAATTGCTACTTATTTGATAGGCTTTTCAAAGTAAAGAAGAATGGCATTTTTCTTTTTGAAATATCTTTTTTCGTTGTAGAGATATTCACGTTTTTGTATTATGCAACCTTTTAAAGTGGGACGGAGGGTCTTGCTTGGAACATGCATGGTTCCTATATTGTCTTAACTCTCCCCATTAGATTGTTGGGAGTGGATGATCCTTGTTTAAGATAAAAACTGGGAATTTTAGTCTTAATTAAAACAGGACCAGCAGCATAACTGTTGTCATGGCAACGGCATGACAGGTGTCATTTTGTTTCTTATGTGATGTACATTTCTGGTGCCAAATTTATAGGACGCTGCTTTAATACTTCTAGAGATATTCTTGATTGAGTGTTGTACTGATTTAGTGGAAACACCTATGACATCATCACTTTTCTTGTTTGCATAATAAAAAACGTAAATATCTCTAAAACGAAAAAAGATCCTCAACTTGTGGTGTATTAAAACTGATAAGAAAACAAGTAATTACATATTTTTCTTTGCCACGCGACAAAAGCGGAGAAAATTGAACACACAAAAACGAGTTAATTATTGACTTTGGAGAACAAAATGAAACCTAGAACAACAAAATTTCCATTCTTTTACTATAGTGGATAACATTTGAAAAAACACTGGAAAATAAAAGCGAAGAGACATAAGCTTATCTAAAAAACAATTTAAAAACAAGAAATAAGATAATTTCTTTGCATGCGACAAATAATACAGCGCAGTGAAAGAAAGATGAAAGTTGGAAATAAAAAAGACAACAAAATCAACTGAAGCCAATTATTTTGAGATAAGTCGTATTTCAACTGTGCTAAATTACTGCCCACTTAGTTCTTTTCTCAGAAGTTTTAATGTAGTAGCTGAATAAAACTAAAAAAAAAATGTATTTGAACAAAGCGAATAAACTAAGCAAACCGGCCGTGGAGGTCGCCCTAAATTAAATATGCAGAAATCCATGCTGCAAAAATACTGACACCTTTAAAAACCTAAAATTCCCAAAGAAAGGTAACCAAATGAAAGGAACATGACATTAAGTCCAATAACAATAAATTTTCATTCCAGATGAGGCAAAAAAAAAACTATCTAAAAAAAATGTTCAAAATTTTGCGGACATGATTCGCTGCGTAACAGCATGTTCAAATTAATTCTTCGCGCTAAAGTGAAAGCTTGAGTTTTTGCTGATATCTTTTGCAGTCATTTTATTGGCCGTGGCTGTACTATTTGTTCAAAAATTTGAATTAAACTTCGAAGTAATACTGTACATTACCATTTTTGTTTTCTAAAGTCCAGGAAGCTGCTTTAAATCCGCGATCTGTATTCAAAACCCACTTGAAAGCGCACCAACTTCATAAACACCAGGTTGTATTTACCTTCAAAAGCATCCTTAATTTCCATGTCAGAACGTTCTGGCCCCAAAACTACAGCTTTGACTCCTTTCTCGTTCAGGCTGGACACCTGGTCTTTCATCAAGGAAATCAAATGAGACCAAATCCACATTTTATTTCAAGTCTCCTTGCCTTTAGAATTACCCAAGCAAGACAAGGGTTATTATGATACTGAGTTATTACAAACAATCATCTTCATTACTTCACTGCACTAAAAAATTCCTTGAATCAGAGGATAGAAATTACTCACACAAAAGCAGGCCCCAAACTGACCAAAATAGTGTATTGCTAAGGTTTTAGAACCATAAACCATGCAATGATGACTTCCATCAGCACATACCAAGCAATCTCCTGACCTCAGTTGAGTGTGATAAAGACAAACTCATTCAGCATCTAAAAATATCCATGAATAGACATCATGGCCAGTAGAACAGGTCACTTGGTGAAAAAAATTGAGTGATTTCCAGCAGAAAACAACTGCCATTTGAATCTTAGTCACTCGCTGTAAGCTTGCTGTGCAAATCATTTTACCCTGCAATGGCCATCAATCCGTCAGCAGTTTATAGCTAACTGTGATGAATTTGTAGAGGTTTTTCTTCACCAATAATTCATCAGCAGCATGTTGGCAAAGTGACAAGGTTCCAGTTGGGTGATCTGCAGTTGGCAAGTTGAGGTCGGCAGTTCAATCTTGGTTAATACAAATGTTCAAGTGATAATAAAAGAAAATGAGACAGTATGGAAGAAAAACACTTAGCACATGTGAAACCCTTGCACGTGATTTTTGGCAAAGTTTCAGTTAAAAGCTGCTGACAAATCGGCCAATGGATTGAATTATACCTCCACCTCTGTTGTATATCAAAATACTAGTCTTTAACTTGGGAGCACTTGTTCTACTCCAAACACAAAAGATCAGTTCATTGCTTTGGCAGCCATTTTTTTCTAAATGGTCTGACAGGCAAATGTCACCCCCTTGCAAAATACCCTGGTCAGCAGAATTACCATCAAAAAATGTTTGACCCATCGACTGACTGGCTGACTGACTGGCGAGCGAGTGAATATTTTTTCCCAACCAACTGCTATAATTCTCTCTAGCTAAATTTAATCGCTCGTTAAAAATGAACTCAAGTAATATTTCACCAGCATGGACCTCATGCCAGGTCCGTAACAGCTACTGTATGTAATGAGTCTTGTTTACCTCCAGCTGTTCCAATGAGATGTTCCATGTTATCCTCTCTATGGAAAGCAACAATTCATTTATAGCAATTAAAAACCAAAACAGCTAAATTCTAGGTATAAATCCAACAACATCTCAATCATTATTATATCTACAATTGCATTTCACTGTTTTTAACTTCCTAGAATTCAATTAAGGAATGAATACCGCAAACACCAGGGGATAAGCCGCACCATTTTGTTCACAATTTTCCTTAAAACTCAGGGATGCGGCTTATGTGCAACAACATCTTGAAAGTGTTCCATACATTAGCATAAATTAACAGTTAAATTGAAAATTTATCAGTCTGTATAGCAAACTAAATATGAACTTCATAAGACAAATAACATCAGAGAATGCATCAATCATTGCTTTTACAAGTTTCGTGGCTCCTAAAAGAGCTGTTTTTGTTCATGAGCATACATGTAAGCTTATATTTCTTGTTGTTAAATAGCAATAAACCTTCATCAAAAAATCTTTTAACCAGTTTAAGGTTGGCAATCTAGAACAGCTAAAGGCCGCTCAGCAGGGAATCTCCATTCCACCACAAAGCTGTCTACATTGTCGCACTGAGCTGTGATCAAAGAAAACTTACAAAGTTAATTGTGTCCAGAACCCCTGCTCCTGGTAAAATACCTGGCTACTAAGCTGGGAATGAATAAACGAGAGCATTCTTGTTGCTGTATGTAAAATTATATTGAAAACAGTAATGAAAAAAATGCTGGTTGAAAAATACCAGAGGAAGATCAAACATGCCGGTAAGTCAAAGTCGGCAGACATCATGACCATACTATTGCAGAACTAAAATTATAAGTAAGGATTTCAGTTTGAAGTATTCTCTGTTTTTATTACTAAGCAATAGTCCTCGTGTAGCGAAATTGGCACAATCGAGCGTGACAATTTCTTTCGTTTTATTCCCAAATAAATAGTTCTTCAACTTGCATTTGCTAATTTTATTATTGCCTTTTCTGTCCGACTAGTTGGGTGATACTAAAACAATTAGACCCTTTGCCCTCAAGGGCCATGGGTCAATAGCCCATTTGGCTTCGCCTCATGGGCTATTGACCCGTAGCCCGCAAGGGCTACCAGTGTAATTGTTAATTAGTCTCATTAGTAATAATTGATAAAATAATTAATAATGGTAATAGGACTGAGTGGAGTCCAATTCGGTTTGTAATCATATGAGTGATTAACAAAATCGGACAACCACAAAGTGGTCCTAAAACTATTTTTCCCAAGGCTATACATACTTAAGAAAAACAAAGACTTTTTGAAAATGTAAATGAAAAAGGAACATTCTACCATAAAAGTCGACTACAAAACAACACTCTTTCTCAGTTGACAAGTTCTAGTCGTCATGGCAAGTGCTCCAACCCAGCAGCTCAACAGTAAGGGTAGGTTAGTTTCCGTTATTTCTTGCTATTTGAGTGTGTTGAGTGAAGTTTTTGACTGACCTTGACTTCAGCGAATCATGGTTACTATGGGTGGTGCCCATCAGTATTTCTATTTCCATTGATACACATGTCGATGAATACTCAGTCGACTGTCAGCTGATAGTCCTCCAATACTCGGTTGATAATCAAACGAGAACTGATCGACAATCAATCAATATATCGGCCTGTTACCGGTCAGCTCTTGATTAATTATTGACCAAGCATCTTCTGAGTGTCGATTGTTGTGCTTCCAGTTTCATCTCAATAGAATATCAGTCAACTGTCGTTGGTATATCAGTCAAGGTTTGGTCAAATATTGGTCGTGTCGTTGTTATATCGGCCAAGTGTCAGCGAGAGCTCTTTGCCCTCAGCAAGGTCAAAAAGAACTTACTTTTCTGTGGATTTTGTCACATTTCCCTTGCCCGTTAACCAAATTTTGACTGGCTATCGAAAGATATATCGACCAAGTATTGAGCTACATAAAGGTCGAAACCACTTATGGTCAACATCACTCATTTGAACTACTGACTTATTTCTCTTACATATAATTTTGTCATTTCCACAGAATATCTGAAGCGCTTCATAAGCAAAATCATCCCCCTTGTACAAGAAAAGTAAGTCTCTTATAATGCATCAGAAAGAGCAAGTGTTGAGGAGCTCTGCTAAAAATAATTTTATGTCAAAAACGCAACAAGAGTGATGAAGCGATCCAAAAAATCCAGGGGGGCAAGCAGCAAGGCCTGGAACTGAGTTTCTATGATCGCCCCAGTTCAGAAATTTGGCCAAGCGAGACTAAGCACTGGTTTGTGGAAAACAAACATGGTGGACTTCCGCAAGCAGGATGCATTTGTAAACCTCGTGCACATTCAAACATCCAAGAAAAAGTTCCAGTTGCCCTACATCTAAATCTTGGAGATTTTTATCGAGGTATTGGGGATAAATATTCCAACGTAAACCTGCAAGTGGGAACTCCACAGGGTGAGCCAGATTTCAGGCATGATCATGAATATTTCACTCAAGCATTTTTTGTAACAGTGTCCTATCAACAGGATAAACTGAAGTATTTCTATATTTCCGCACTGCCTGATGGTAAGGGTTGCTTTTTTTGAACAGCTTAACAGCTTTGTGACCCTTTTTGTTTGCACTTAACTAACAGGGTTAAAGCAGGTTTCATAGTGAGTGCAGTGAGTACGGCGCTTTTCTGTTACGTTACTACAAAAGGTCTGTTTCAGTTTCAGACAAAGCATCTGGCATTATTTATGAAAGTGAATACTGGATAGGTACCTTGGCAGAATTGAGAATTCATCACCATCTCTTTGGTTACAACACAATAGTTGTGTCATTGATTGTTTTTCTTTCTTCATAATCATCCTTAGACTTTTGTTTTGATATTCTTGACTTAGCAGCTTAAATAATGGGTCCAATCAAGTCGTTGAGATGGAGAGTGTGCAGGAAGTTTGACTTTACCATCTCATTTTGTTGCTCTTTCTGTAACCCTTTCCCTGGCACTAATTTTTTATGCCACCTCTCAATCAGTTTTCAAAGGGTTAATGCTCCTCTCTTGCACTAAGATTTGTCATTGAGACAAGTACTATTAAAGCCTCATTCATCTGGCATTATATTAGTCTTCCTTATTGTCTTATTTAGCTATCCTTCCATTACAGGAACAAGCCACTGACAATCAACACTTTAGGCCACATTTGATACATTTTAAGGCAAAGGCAAAAAGATGAGAAAGGATGTTAAAACATCCTTACTCATCTTTTTGCCTTGAAGGAATAAAACAAACCTGATCCTTTGGTTATCGGTCATTTGATTAACCCCTAGCCAGTTAGCCCCCAACTAGTTGATTAGCCCCTTCTCACACTTAAAGAACGAGAAATATATGGGGTTTTTTTTAGTTCTAGTTGGGGGCTTATCAACTTCTGGTTGGGGTTTAAATCGTTAGGGGCTAATAGACTTGGGGGGCTAAATGACTGTTACCAATCCCTGCACTTGATGTCTTTTCTTGTCATTCTCAAAAGCCTTAAAGCCAAGTCTCAAAATTGGCCTATTTCAAATGTTGTGGAGGTTCTGTTGACTCAGGTTTGCCCAAGTCAAAGTTAGTTGTCTGGATGAATGACCATTTTACCTACGTACCTCATCACTAGCACTCAACTACAGGTAACATGGCTCATTTGCCTTCCCTGGGTCTATTCCATAAATTATCTCCCTCAGCAGATGAGTATATCACAGCCCTATTTTGATACCCAGAAGTATTACAGAGCTTTCTCCCACCACACAAATAAAACTGATGCTTATAACCAATACAAATTATGCCAAAGCATGTGAGCAGAAGCTGCTTTCTTTATCATCACGGGTCAATAACTTGTAAATAAATACCTCAACCTAGTGAAGGTTCATATTTAGTCTGTGTCTAGCAAATAGTCCATTTTGGACATTCCAAAATGCAGAAGAAGAAAAATGATTTCAAATTTGCCAGTACACATTGATACTGAACAGTAAGGGATGGAGGTTTAAAAACCTCCATAATTTATCACTGTGCTATCAAGACATGCAAACTGGTAGCTATTTTCAATGTTGTTGACTGATCTGCAACTGCCTTCAAGTTTCATGATTTAAATTACTCGAAACGAAGTCTTCAGACTCAACATATTACAGGAAAATCATAAAGTAAATGCAGTCTTTCATAAGACAGTAAGTTAAGACGGAAAAAAACTTAAGACAGAAAAACTTTTTTAATGTAGGACTTAAGCTTAAGGTTAAACGTACAACTCTGAACAGTTGAGAAATATTTTAAAGACTTACGTTCAGAGGCTTTGCAATATATAATGGCAGACATGAAACAGTTCGACATCACTATTTTCCATAGAAATTAGAGAAGAATAATTGGTCGGTGTGAAGATGGAAGGTAACGAACCTTGAAACTTCCACAGCAAAATAAAAACTTCAGCTTCTTTTCTTCCTGAGATGGGGAAACCTATCCAGGCAATCAAGAATGCAACCACGCTCACCAGGAAAATGGCACAAAGCTGGTCCTTCATTCCCTTAGTCCTGATTGTCTCAGTGCTGTCGTTAAAAATTGCCAACAGCGAATAAAAAGTTACCAAATCGAAGGCAAATCCTGAACAAAAATGGCGGCGAAATGTTTCGGTTTCCTCGCATTATTTTCGCATTATGCACATGCTCGTTACAGTTCTCAAATGATTGACAGATTTCTTTACTGGGGCGATCATAGAAACCAGAAAAGCAGCGAGATCAAAGGTAGCTGCCAGCCCCCCCTGGAAAAATCAAAGGGGTAGCATTTTTCTTCTTGTCTGTTGCAGTGCTTGAGAGAAAAGCTAACGGAAAAGAGCCTGACAGCAAGGAACACGAAGAAACAAAAGTTTCCCAAACTACTAAAACAAAGGTATATTGGCCTGCTATCTCGTACTGGATAGCGATATAATCCCCAGGTGGTTTGCGCATGTCCATTGTACCTGTCCACTCAGCGCTCCTGGACACCGGTATGGACGTTACAGTAAAATCACTGCCAGATTGTAAGAGGGGAAGAGAGGAGTATGCAGTGGCTCCTTTGTGCACTACAG